CTCACGGTCCTCCTCCTTCTCTCCGGCGACCTCCTCCTCCCTCCTCTCCTGATCCTCACGGTCTCTCCTCCCTCCTCTCCTCCTCACGGTCTCTCCTCCCTCCCCCTCTACTTTAGGCCACATGTGGAGCTCCCCCGGCACAAAGAACGTACCAGATCTAGGTCGAGAAAGAAATTTGAAAAAAAATTCAAGCAAAAAAAACGAGCAAAAAAACAAGCCAAAAAATGATCCAAATTCAAAATTCAAAAATAGCTCGGTGTTCGATACCCAGCCGAAACATACATTTTAACTCTTTTTTTGTCAAGGTGGCAGGAGCAGGCCCATCAAAGGAAGGTCCAGCCCAGCCGGTTGAGGCATTTGCGCCTTTGACTATTGTTTTCCCAACGCACTAAAAGACCGACAGAATTTCACATGAATAGTACCACCTCATCAGATAGTAAAAAAAAGTACAAATAATAAAATCATTTAAGCAGGACGAAACTAAGAATATCACCTTGCTTTATTATGTAAAATGAAGATTTTTGAAATGAAAAGAGATGGAGTCTATGGCATTGGGTCCATTGACCCAAATATTGTTAATGAAACTATGTCAATAAACCACAAAGATGACACAGAGCATAACTAGCTAATGTTTTTGAAGGAACTAAATACACAACCAGAAATAGTATTTCCTTACAACTTCAGACGAGTGTTACTGTCTTGTACTACAAGTTCTTTTTTGCTTACTTGATGTTAAGTGTAGTACTTGATGAGTTATGCATGCCCGTCTATACAAACGTGTGCGTAGTTTTCACTGGATCCTTCTAATCATTAGAGTTGACGAGGGAAAAGTTTAAGTACTAGACTCGCTAAATAAAGACCCTAAAGATTACACCAACCTAAAATTGATGCTCGACAGGTAATTTCAATCATTATCGCATTATGTTGGTCTCTTTAGTTCATTTCCTGGTATCAAGTAATTAATAACTCCTTTATACCTTTTTTTCCGGGCAGGGTTTGGAAAATGTTCACCAAAGAGGTTATCGGTGCATAAGAATCAAAGCTGAAATGGTCGCGACACAGGGTAATTAAGTACTATTAGCTACGTTCGTGCATCTCTTTAATTCTAATTTCAATACCATTATCATGCTTTATTATTATCTGATTGAATTCTATCCTCGTAAAGTGCATGAGGCAGGCACCAGGAAACAATTTATGTGCATACTACGATTTGCGAGAACATTCACTTTATAACTGAAAGGAGCAGAGATGGAAGAAATCTTTGGGTACGTAAACACTATTCATAATTTTTTTTATCATGATCTAATATATATACACACAACTAAT